TAGTTCGCCACTAGAGAAGTTTCTCTGGATGTGTAGAGTACTCGGAACCACGAGGAGGAGGTGTAGTGTCCTTTCCTGAGCGTGAAGTTGACTCTGGGTGTTGCTTTTACAGCTGCCTTTTGTCGTTGGTGATCGTTCTTCTCTCCTTTTTCTAAGGAGAGAAAGAGGGAAAGGATACTGTCTGAGTGGCTCCTTATTGGCTAAGTATGTGTAGGAGTGAGTTTTGCTGTGTTGTTCCAGAAGTCAACTGTTGTGTGTTTAGCTGTGGTTGTTGGTGAGTGACCTAGCGGTTGCATAGAGCTCTTTGGGCTTGGGCCTTTTCTTATTTTTTTTTTTTTTAACGTATCTATGGCTATGTGTTTTTAGAGGGCGTTTATTTTTTTCTATGTATGGTTGTACTTTGTATTTGTTTTTCTACACCTTTGCCGCACTGGTCTTACAACTTTCTTGAGGTAGGTATTAAGCCTTACAAACTAATTTCTGGAGTACCCAGCTTTTAATTTTCTTAGTTTGTGTTACTTTCTGGGTCTTCTGGTTTTCATTACTAAATTTTGTATTAAATCCTTTGTGTGTTTTAGTTTTCAAGAGTATTTTTTAAAGATTTGTTATAATTGACATGAACGTTTGTTTCTATACAACGTGGTTGTGCATTTGCCTATATTGCAAAATGATAACCACAGTGTTTAACATCTGTCACTATACATACAGAAATTTTTCTTGTGGTGAGCATTTTTTTTAAAGATTTTAAGTAATCTCTATGCCCAAGGTGGGGCTCAGACTCAGGACACTGAAGGATCAAGAGGCACATACTGTACCAGCTCTACCCAGGGCCAGCCAGGTACCACATGATGAGCACTTTTAAGATATACTCTGTTAAGGGCGCTTTGATGGCTTGATTTTGGCTCGGGTCATGATCTTGTGGTTTGTGAGTTCCAGCCCCACCCCCTATCCCCCCACCAGGTTCCACGCTGAATGAGGAGCCCTGATTGGGATTCTCTTTCTCCCTTTCTCTGCCTGTTCTGCTTGTTCTCTCTCTCCCCAAATAAGTAAACTTTTTTTTTTTTTAAGTAAAGTAAGAAAAAAACAACCCTTCCTGGGGCACCTGGCTGGCTCAGTTGGAGGAGCAGGTGACTCTTGATCTCAGAGTCTCAAGTTCGAGCCCCATGTGGAATGTAGAAAATAAATAAATAAAACTTTAAAATGATCTGGCAGTTTGTGAGTTCGAGCCCTGTACAGAGCCTGCTTGGGATTCTTTCCCTCTCCTCTCTCTCTGCCCTTCCCTCACTCCTGCTCTCTCTCTCAAAATAAACTTTACTTTTTTTGTTGTTGTTGTTAAGTTATTTATTTATTTTGAGAGAGAGGGAGAAAGAGCTCAGAAGGGGCAGAAAGAAAGGGAAAGAGAATCCCAAGCAGGCTCTGCACCATCAGCATGGAGCCTGATGGTGGGGCTCAAACTCATGAATCCTGAGTCATGAGCTGAGCCGAAGTCCGATGCTTGAACAACTGAGCCACCTAGGCACCCCAACTTAAAAAAATGTAAAAAAAAAAAAAAAAAAAAGTTTGAAAGGGAACTTGGTCTCTGCTTGGGGAATGGATTAGATAGAGAAGGGCAATGGTGAGTATAGGCTAAGCTCTGTCCATCTGAAAGATGATCACTTGACCAGCCAGGGAGGTGGTAGTGGTGAAGAAAAGTGGAGGAATCTGAGAGGTATTTGGGGGATAAATCATCAGCCTTATGACAGGTTGGTGTGAAGGAAGCTGTCAGAGATGACCCTTGTTTTCTGGTTTGTGCTCCTGGTGGGGTAGACAGTGATACCATCACCAAGGCAGGGAACTGGAAGAGGCCTGGTTTTAGGAAGCAGACGAGTAGTTTAGTCATGTTGAGTTCAAGGTGCTTTTGAGACATTCAATTCAAGATGTCAGTCAACTAGATGTCAGGTAAGCAGATCTACAGCTGGGGTCTGGTGTCTGCTATGTGCTGCATGTGAGTCAGACCTCTTGGATTGAAACCTGGTCTGGCATTGTCTCTCAGCAAACAGAAGTTTCTTAAGTTCAGTGTGCCTCCATTTCTTTGTAGAACAGAAGTAATAACAGTAACACCCCTCATACAGGTATTGTAGATAATAAATAAAGTACTTTGAAATTATCAGAGTTAGAAGGGACTATCAAAGCAGGTCATTTAGTCCAATTCCTTATTTCAACATTTTATAAAGGTTATGTTTCTTTTTCTCCCCCCACTACCTTTATCTCACTCTTGTACTCAGAAGTGGGGTGTTTCTGTGTGTGTGTGTGTGTGTGTGTGTGTGTGTGTGTGTATCACATGGGTGTGAGATATGCAGGGCGAAGTCTCAGCTTCCTCCAGGGAGGCCTACCTTGTCTGAGTACCCAGTTGATGACTTGCTAAGTCTACTGAAGACAAACTGCCGTTAGTTAGTAATCTCCTTGAGAAGGACAGGAGTTTGGGGTGTCATTTTCTTTTTGATCTGTCACAGAGTTGCCCAGTACTGTTCACTGGGCAAACAATACATGGCTGTTGTCTGTCAGGAAATGACCAGAGGGCCTTCAGGTCAGGATATCCTGTATCCTTAGCCTTTTTCTTTTTGTAGCACTTCTGACGAGGAAGCCAACTCCCATCAGTGGTTCATTCCCAGCCACCCTTTCTCAGGAATGACAGCCCTCTGATTTGCTTCCTTAGCATCTGTAAGAAATGCCTAAAAATGATGTGTCACTGCTCCTCAGTGCACGTGGATTCCCCCTTTTTTTCCCTTTGCAACTTCTGCACCCCGTACGCCACCCCCCAGTACTTCTGCCTATTTCTCTCCTTATGGGTTTACTTTAGCTAGGTCAGTTTATTGAGTTTACCTAGTTCTAGTCTTAGGCAAAACACAAAGAGCCTCTCATGTGAATTACTGGAAAGAGATAAGGATTTACAAGATACAGAAAGGTACAATGTCAGTGCTGAAGGCAGCAGGAGACAGCCTTCTGGCCTTGGTGAGCCACTTAACATTTTAAGTTTGTTTCCTTAAACTCTTAGGGTTATTTCCAAGATTAAATCGGATGATCTATGTAAAAGGGTTTAGTAGAAGGTCTGGAACATCGTAAAGTAGTGGAGAAATGATAGGGTTTTTTTGTTTTGTTTTGTTTTTGTGTTTTTGTTCCTTTTTTTAACAAATAAGAAATCACATTTAAGTCTGGGTTTTTTGGAGGGGAAGGGTAGAGGTTTGTAACATGTCAGACTCACCTGGCAACTTATTTAAAAAAAAAAAAAAATCTAAGGGGCGCCTGGGTGGCTCAGTCAGCTCAGGTCATGATCTCACGGTTTGTGAGTTCGAGCCCACATTGAGCTCTGTGCTGACAGCTCGGAGCCTGGAGCCTACTTTGGATTCTGTGTCTCCCTCTCTCTCTGCCCCTCCCCCACTCATGCTCTGTCTCTCTCTCTCAAAAATAAACATTAAAAAAAAAAATTTAAGACTTACTTAGGTTGAGGGGTGTAATGCCCCCGATTTCAAACCCGAGAGACCACCAAGGAGCCGATACCGATGCAAACGCATGAGGGTTTATTTGCAAGCTCGAGCTTGGGCCCAAGTATACCCGACACAGCGGAGCAGGGACTTGGACTCCTAGGTTAAGAGGAGTAGCAGTTTTATGGGGGCCAGTGGCCAATGAAATTGTAACACACACAGAAGGTTGCACATTCATGTCAGTCCACACGCAGGTGGCCAATTGAATTACAGTTTACCCTATAGTAACTGTTTGAACTAGCCTATCACTCTGGTCAGAATTGGCGCGCAAGTTTGGCGAGCAAAAGGCGGGATTTACATTCTTTGGCGGTTAGGGGTTCCACATTCCTAAATGAGCCGGTTTCCAGTAAGGGTGTGCTCAGGGGCTTGACTAGGGTGGGGGAGTGTCTTAAGCAATAAGTAGGTCATATGGGGGTTATACATGAGATGGTGGGTGTAGCACAAAATGGAGTTAGTCTTGCTCTGCTTGTCCAGGGGTAGGGGATTTTTGTTAAATTTCTTGGGTCCCACAAGGGGCAGTTGGGTAGCTCAGTTGGTTAAGCGTCCCACTCTTGATCTGAGCTCAGGTCTTGATCTCAGTGTGGTGAGTTCAAGCCCTGCATTTGTGCTCCCCACTAGACCTGGAGCCTGCTTAAAAAAAAACAATTTAGGTGGATTTGTTTATTAATACTGAGCTGCACCGGGAAGAAAGCTAAAAATAGGCTGTGATCTGTCTAGACAGACCTGATGATATGTGAAATAAAGGTGATACAATTTAAGATTTAAAAAAATTCAAACAATACAAAAATATACAAAATTGCTAATTAAAGCAGACCTCTCCTTCCCAAAAGTCCCCAAAGTAACCACACCACAGTCGTTACTTTTTTCCTAATTAAAAAAAAAAAATTGGGAGGAAAAAAACGTTTTTCAAAATAAACTAATAGGTTCCCCATTTAAGACTGGCCTGGATACATTGTTTTGAAAAGCTACCCAGGTGAATCTGATAAGTGCCCCTCAGGTCCACACTCAAGTGAGTAACCAGCAGCCCGTCTCAAAGTAAAAATGTCAAATTAACCTACCTATTAGCTTTCGAAATTTCGGATCTTAGAGGCTTAAAAAATAAAAAAAAATTTAAAAAAAAAATCCCACCCACAGACGCTGCGTGTCGTACTTGAGATGCAAATATTAATTGGCGCCGCCAAGCGCACCTAGTCTCCAACTAGTCCGGAAGTGCTTGTGTTTAATTTAGAGTCAGAAAGACAAGAGCTTCTGATTGGCTGTCAATCCGTAATAGGTTAATTACAAACTAAAAGGCTTAGCATCTTAAAGAAAAAGCCTCATAAGAGTGTTCAGAATTTTTTTTAAAGGTGGCGTATGAAACAATACTTTGGAAATATGTTTATGTGGTATTTCTCAAGCAGGAGGAATGTGGAAAAATGTCGCCATCAGCGTAAAGTGGACGGCTGCTATAGACCAAGCAAAGGTTGGCAGCCAAAAGCTAAGACTATACTTTCAGGGATCATTTCTATAGTTTGTTACTAGAGAAGTTTCTCTGAACGTGTAGAGTACCCGAAACCATGAGGAGGAAATGCAGTGTCCTTTCCTGAGCGTGAAGTTGATACTGGGTGTTGTTCCTGCAGCTACCCTTTGTCGTTGATGATCGTTCTTCTTCTCCTTGGAGAAGGAAGAGGGAAAGGATGCAGTCTGAGTGGTTTCTACTAGCGTAGTTGATTAAGTACATGCAATATTTCTTAACTTTCGTGTTTGGACCTTTTTGGTAGGTTTTTATTTTTTTTGAGTTGGTAACTGTAGTTGTAAATTTCCAACCACGTTGTTTAATTTTTATCTGAAGTCGCTCTTTCCTGTTATTTTCAAATTGTTTTTTTTTCTTTTTTTTTAAACAGCTCACTTATATTTTAAGGCGGGTGGCCGGATGTAGAATCCGAAGCAGGCTTGAGCTGCCCGCACAGGTCCCGTGGTGGGGTTCGAATTCAGGAAGGGTTGTTTTGAGCTCGAGACCTGAGCCAAAGTTGAATGTCTAGGCGACTGAGCCATCCAGGCACCACTAGTTGTTTGTGTGTGTGTGTGTGTGTGATTGTGTTAGATTAAATGGAAAGATTTGGCCTTAAGCCTTTGTGAGAACTCAATTTTCCTTGTCATCCTAAAGTTAGTAGTATGCTATTAAAAGAATGACTTAGTGCCCTGTGTAGCTTAAAGTCACTAACACCGCGTTGGCAATTAGCGGCAGGAGTTGAGGTGCAAATGTGAGGCCAGGTTAGGCACCTACCTTCTGCATTCATCAACATGGAAGGAGGATGGTGGTGGTGATGGAGATAGATAAATTGTTCAGATCTGAAAGATATTTGAGTAATATTGGCAGAATTGGGGGGATTGGTTCAATGTAGGTATGAGTGAGAGGGGCTATTAAGGATAATTATCAGGGGCGCCTGGGTGACTCAGTCAATAAAGCATCCGACTTCGGCTCAGGTTATGGTCTCGCAGTTTGTGAGTTCAAGCCCTGCGTTGTTGGCCTTGGTGCTGGTAGCTCAGAGCCTGGAGCCTGCTTTGGATTCTGTTTCCCTCTTTCTCTCCCCCTACCCCCTCTCTCAAAAATAAACATTTAAAAAATAAAAAATAAAAAAAGGATAATTGTCAGGATTTATGACTTGTGCAAATGGGTTCCTTGTGTTAAGATGGGGAGAGTGGAAGAAGAACTGAATTAGGTAGGGCAGTGGGGTGGGAAGTGATGATAGAATTCAGTTTAGGGCACATTTAGGAGAGATTTCTGACCTTTAACACATTAATGGCATAAGGGACAGCCAGACAGGTAGAAGGGAAACCACATGAGCCGTGCTTGACCAAAGCCAAGGAAGGGGAGTGGGGACAGAGAAATGTGTAGAAAGCAGATGAGAGATTAAGAGGCAGTTAGAAAGGTATCCATGGCATTTAATGGTGACTTTCTTGGTCTTGTGATAGAGAAACTGTTTTGGGATGAGCTGATCAGTGAAGGGGTGGGAGGGCTTGCCACTAAATGGGTGTAAAGAGCTCCCAGAAGAAAATCAAGCTGTGATGGAGAGTATAGAGGTAGATGTGCATTTAGCTGGGGGATGAAGGGGGGTGGTGAGGGGGGGGGGGGGCGGGGGGTGGGGGGGAGGGGGTGGGGGAGTGGGGGGGGTGGGGGTGGGGGTATATGGGATATAGATGGGGTTTAATTAAAGATAGGAGAACAAGTCTGAGTGCAGATGGAAGGATTGGGTAGAGCAGGAGAAATTGAGATTTAGGACAGAGCCACTCCCAGTGGGCAGCCAGAGTTGATGGGGAGTGCAGGTGTAGGTGGTTTGTCCCTGTAGTGAGACCACACTGAGGGTTTTTCAACTGCTAGCTTCAAGTTCTGGGCCAAGTGTGAGGCAAAATCATTGCTGAGGTAGGCTGATGAGGAGGGTTGAGAATAGAGTTGAGAAAAAAGAAGGAATGAAGGGTATTTGGCTGGCTCAGTCGGTAGAACATGAGACTCTTGATCTCACGATTGTGAGTTCAAGCCCCACTTTGGGTGTAGAGATTACTCAAAAATAAAATCTTAAATTTTTGTTTTAATGTTTACTTAGTTTTGAGAGAGAGAGAGAGAGCGCGCAGCAAAGGGGCAGAGAGGAAACACAGAATCTGAAGCAGGCTCCAGGCTCTGAACTGTCAGCACAGAGCCCGACTCAGGGCTCAGACTCACGAACTGTGAGATCATGACCTGAGCCAAAGTTGGACACCCAACCAACTGAGCCACCCAGGCGCCGCTTAAAAATAAAATCTTAAAAAAGAAAAAAAAAAAAAAAAGGGAGGACTGAAGTAATAATTCCAGGGTGCAGGTGTGGAAAAGGTACCTCCTGAGGGGCACCTGGCTGGCTCAGTTGGTGGAGTACAATGGGTAAAGAGATAACTTAAAAATAAAATTAAAAAGAAAGAGGGGGTGCCTGGGTGGCTCAGTTGGTGGAGCATCTCTCTCGCTTTTTTTTTTTTTTTTTTTAATTTTTAACATTTATTTATTTTTGAGAGACAGAGTACAAGCGGGGGAGGGGCAGAGAGAAGGAGACACAGAATCCGAAGCAGACTCCAGGCTCTCAGCTGTCAGCACAGAGCCCAATGCGGGGCTCTAACCCACAAACTGCGAGATCATGACCTGAGCCCAAGTCGGACACTTAACCGACTGAGCCACCCAGGTCCCCCGAGCATCTGACTCTTGATATTAGCTCAGGTCGTGATCTCATATGTGGGATTGAGCCCAAGTCAGGCTTCATGTTAGGTTTGGAGCCTGCCTGGGATTCTCTCTCTCCCTCCCTCTCTCTCTGTCCCTCCCCCACTCATTCTCTCTGTCTGTCCTTCTCTCTCTCTCTCTCAAAATAAACTTTAAAAAAGAAAAGAAGAGAAAGAAAGAAACAGCACCTCCTGAGGGTGTACCTCCTTTCTTTTCCTGGCGTTGAAGCTTTGAGATTGCTTCCTGGTTTTGGAAGTACCTCCCCAGATCACAGTTAATTTCTCTTTCTTCCACTCTAGCTATGTACCATGTAGTTCCTCCTTGATTTTCTCCTTTGGGATCTACAGTGACTAGGCTTTTACTGTGAGCCGTAAATTAGTTCTTGGTCATCTTTACAGGTTGGGGGCTATGAGGGAAGTATATGCTCTGGAGTTGGCTCCTTGGTTTGTTATTTTCTAGCTGTGGGTTCTTGGGAAGTTTTTAAAAATTTTTTTAAAGATTTTTTTTTTTAGTTTATTTAATTTTGAGAGAGACAGAGTGCGAGCAGGGGAGGGGCAGAGAGAGAGAGGGAGACACAGAATCCAAAACAGGCTCTAGGCTCTGAACTGTCAGCAGTACTCATGAACTGTGAGATCATCACCTGAGCTGAAGTCAGACACTTGACTGAGCCACCCAGGCCCTGGGAAGTTTCTTAACCTCAGTCTTTCCCTCTAACCTAGGTAGATGTAGTAGTAATAGCATCGATACGTGGGATTCTTGTAAAGGTAAATTAGATAAAGCAAGTGGAGTAGAATACTCCCCCCATTCTAAAAAAAGCCCCTCCCTGAGATGAGAAATCCGTCTCTTCCCCAGTCTTTCCTATTATCAGCACCATGCACCAAGTTGTTCCAGGCACAAACCAACTTGTCACCTTTGAAACCTTTTTTCCTTCACCCATCAGTGTGTCCATCAATGTGTCCTATTGATTCAACTTCCAGAACAGGTCAAGTTTCTCCTTCCAAATGCAAGCCATGATGATGACTCCAATAGACACCTGAGGCAGTGGCCTCAGAACTAGTCCCCACAGCTTTAAACTTCTCAGTGGCTTTCTGTCACACTTAAAATCCAGACTCCCCTGGCCTTGCCCTTGCCTAGAAAACCTTCAGATATCTGGGCCCTGCCTAACCTCCCCTCTCCCTCATACCCGTATGCTCTCTAGCTACCCTCAAGTTGCTGGAACGTACCACTTTGTTCCCTTCTTTGAATCTTTGCATTAGTTATTTTTCCTGTTTAAATGTAACGTCCAAAGAGAGGCTTCTTTGACTACCCAAATTTTTTTTTTTAATTTTTTTTTCAACGTTTATTTATTTTTGGGACAGAGAGAGACAGAGCATGAACGGGGGAGGGGCAGAGAGAGAGGGAGACACAGAATCGGAAACAGGCTCCAGGCTCTGAGCCATCAGCCCAGAGCCCGACGCGGGGCTCGAACTCCCGGACCGCGAGATCGTGACCTGAGCCGAAGTTGGCCGCCCAACCGACTGAGCCACCCAGGCGCCCCAACATAATGGGTTTTTAATATTCAAAATGGGATTTCTGGATCCAGCTTTTAATAGATATTTAATAGATATTGCCATATTGCTTTCCACAAGCATTATAACACTTCATACTCCTAACTGCATTTAGGAAAGTGTCAACTTTCCCACCTCTTCTCCAACTGTGAATGTTTTCTCATTTTTAAATTTTTTTCAGGCTTCACAGGAAGTTTCATGTTTTTTTCCTCTATTTCAGCCCAGGCACCATTTTATATTGGTTCATGGACTATTGCAGAGTAGAGTGAAATATCTATCCTTCCTATACACCCATTATTTGTTTTATCCTCTCATTCCCTTTACCCTCCATCATCCTACTTCCACCCAAAGCTGTCGAGGTTTCCTGCTCTCAGAAATTAACACTTTCTCTCCCCTTTGTGTTTAACGCCATGGACAGCATTGTTTAGTAACTAAAGGCTTCTGTAATACTGAGCAGCAAGGCTGAGAAATTAGGATGAGAGGAAGACAATATGTTGCAGTGCAGGGACTTTGGAGCCAGATTGTTTTGTGATCCCTGGAAAATTGCTGAACCTCTCTAAACCTTGTTTTTTCAATCCATAAAACAGTGATAATAGTATCTTCCTCCCATTGTACTGTTGTGAGGATCGAGTTAGAATGGTGCCTGGCACACATGGTTATTAATATCAGGTCTTGGGGCGCCTGGGTGGCTCAGTTGGTTAAGCATCTGCCTTCAGCTCAGATCATGATCTCAGGGTTCGTGAGTTCAGGTCCTGCATTAGGCTGTATGCTGACAGCTCGGAGCCTGAGGTCTGCTTTGGATTCTGTATCTTCCTCTCTCTCTCTCTGTCCTTTACCTGCCCATGCTCTCTCTCTCATTCTCTGTTTCTCTCAAAAATACATAAACATTAAATAAAAAAAGTTAAAAAAATAATATCAGGTCT